CTCTGTTGCAAACTGAGAACTTTCTGTCTTTCTTTGTGGACAAAGTCAATAAGGTTAGATCTAGCATCTCTCCTTCAGCTTTATCGCTGCCTCTCCCAACTCCAACCAGGCCCATCATCCTAGATAGCTTTGCTCCTGTTTTTTGCCTGAGTTAACCAAACTAGTTAACTCTATGAAGACCTCTGCATGCCCCCTCGACATCTTACCCTCATCTTTGTTTAAAAGTGCTTTTCAGTCCATCGGTCCCAGCGTGCTCTCTATAATTAATGCTTCTCTGGTTTCTGGTCAGGTCCCTGCTTACTTTAAGAACGCTGTAATCCACCTGCTTCTTAAAAAACTGAGTCTCGACGCCTCTCTCCATAGCAGCTTCAGACCTATCTCTAAACTTCCGTTCATCTCCAAGATCTTGGAAAAGGTTGTGGCTAAATAACTCACAGCTGCTCTTGATGAACATAACGTCTATGATAGCTTCCAGTCATGTTTTCGTGTAGCTCATTCTACTGAAACAGCTCTTCTTAGGGTCTCTAATGACCTTCTGACTCACAGTGATGCAGGGGACTGTTCTGTTCTGGTCCTGCTGGACCTGACTGCAGCCTTTGACACTGTTGACCATCACCTGCTACTGGAGAGGCTGAGAGACTGGGTAGGCCTATCAGGATCTGCTCTGGAGTGGTTCTCCTCTTATCTCTCTGAGCGCTCCTTTTCTGTGGCTGTCTCCAAGTTTAGGCCCTCCACCTACCCTTACCCATGGTGTCCCACAAGGCTCTGTGCTGGGGCCTCTGCTCTTCCTCCTCTATCTGTTTGCTCTTCAGCACATCCTGAGCTTCTTCAAAGGAATCTCCTACCATCTTTACGCAGATGACATCCAACTGTAGGTGTTAAGTAAAAACTGATATTATTATTGAATTGATATTAATGTCTTGACTTCTAAAACATCTGGTGCTTTATTAATAATGTTTAAACGCAGGTTCATCCTGTTGATAGTCTCCACAGGAAGGACTGACCTTGCCTCAGACCAGCTTGGTCTGATTTATCAGTAACACTCCCATGGGAAACTGTTTAGAAACTGCTTCTTGATTTAGTGTGTGCACCTGGAGCTGAGACTCCCTTCGTTGCAGCTTCCCATCTGACAGTCTACGTAATAGTTTAAGGAATGTGATTTGTGTTTGTGCTTCAACATTGTGTGTGTGTTTTTCAATAAATGATGTTGGAGGACTTCAGTCTGACGAGAGCGATCTGAATTCATGCTTGGTGTGTATTGATTTTCCTCTCCACTTTGCAAAGTCCAAATTGATTGTTTATAATTAGTATTGGTGTTGAACGATTGATTGCTATAACCCCCTGTGCATTAAACTTTCCCGAAGGTAATCCTGGATTGATAAAATTACCTAACAGTACATCTCCTTTATGCCCCATGAGATGTCTAAGCTGCAGCTGTTACACACCTGCAGGTCCCTGAGGTCCAATGATCAAAGCCTACTGGTTGTGCAGCACCAGGCTAAAGACCAAAGGTGACAGATCATTTGCTGCTGTGGCCCCCAGACTCTGGAACTCTCTTCCCCTGAGTCTGAGATCAGTGGACTCAGTGGTCTCCTTTAAAAAGCAGCTGAAGACTCACCTGTTCAAGCTGGCTTTTGTATGACCTTCTTCACCACTCTCTCTTTATTCTGCTCTCCCACCTATTCCACCTTCCTCAGGATCCACTGATTTCCCTCTTTCCTGTTCACTCTCTCTCTTTCTTTACATTTTAATCACAATTGTCTATTTTTGCTCATTTTAAATATATTTTAATAATTTTCTAAATTATTTTTTTATATTTTTACATTTTTTGTTTTGCGAAGCGCCTCGTGATTTTTATCTTGAGAGGCGCTATAGAAATGATATTTTCTTCTTCTTCTTCTAAAGCACACAGGATTGCCTCTGTGTTTAAAATGTGCTCTTTAAATAAAGCTGCCTTGCCTTAAGTCGGTGCTTCTCTTGGATGCATTACAGGTTTTCCCTCATGGGTCCACCCTAAGCTGCTGAAATGTTTTCTGTCTCCTTTGCAGCAGTTGCTCCCTCTTAACACCAGTTCGCTGGGAAAATGAGAAACGTTGGCCTCAATTTGCGACACACCACTACCTGAGTGTCAGTGGGATATTTTACTGAACGTCTGACTTGAATTCTAAACAAGGAAACAGGGTTTGTTTGTAGCTGACCACACACATTCATCTGATGGGAAAAATGACTAAAAATGTGACAATGGAATTACGTAAAACATATTGTAAAGCCAAATAAGCAACATTATGTATGCAGGGTGTAAAGTAACTAATTACATTCACTCACTTTGCTGTAATTACGTAGTGTTTTAGGGTACTTTTACTTTTCAAAGTAGTTTTAAACATCTGTACTTTTACGTGAGATTGGTTTTCTTCAAGAATTTAATTGAATTTAAAATCACATTTAACAAAAATATATGGTGACTTTGAGATCCTTTCATCCATTCGTCCATTCTCTTCTGCTTATCCAGAGCCGTGTTGCTGAGCAGTGAGGACCATACCTCCTTCTCCCCAGCCACTTGGGCCAGCTCCTCCAGAGGAATCCCAAGGCTTTCCCTGGCCAGCTGCGAGACACAGTCCCTCCAATATGTCCTGGGTCTTCCTTTAGGTCCTTTAGGCCTGGTTGGACGTGCCCAGAAAACCTCACCAGAGAGGCGTCCTAACTAGATGCTCGAGTCACCTCAACTGGCTCCTCTCGAAATGGAGGAGCAGCAGGTCTACTCCGAGCCTCTCCCAAATGACCGAGCCTCTCACCCTATCTCTAAGGAAGAGTCCAGCAACCCTGAGGAGAAAACTCATTTCGGCCGCTTGTATCCACGTTCTAGTTCTTTCGGTTACTTCCCAAAGCTCATGACCAGAGGTGAGGGTAGGAACGTAGATCGACCGGTAAATTGAGAACTTCACTCAGCTCCCTCTTCACCACGGCAGACCAGTACAACACTCTGGATAGCGCAAGCCTGCGACTGGTCAGAACGCAGCTTTCTAAATGTTAATCAACAACACCACCATTAAAAAAAACAAAAGAAAACAATGAGTACTGAAGATACCTATTGCAGCAGGCATGGAGCATAATGAAGAACATTTTATGGCAGAAGTTTGACGATACGAACATTTGTACAATCCTTTCACTGAAGGAGTACAAAGATGATTATTTATTTTTTTGCTGAAGGAAATTTTGGGAAACGTTAGTTTGGAGGTAACCGACTGGACGTGGAGGACAATGAGGGACACATTTGTCTGTTACAAAGTCTCAGAAACACATACAACAACACAAAAACATGTCACCTAGAAATAATTAGATGAACAGCCAAGTTCAAGGTCAGAATGCTTTCTCAAGTGAATGATAACTGATGGCCAGGCGCGCAGATAGGGTGGGGGACGGGGGGGATCTGTCCCCCCCCAGATTTAGATCGACCCCGATTCGTCCCCCCCCCCCCCCCCCCCAACTCAGGCCAGAAAGAAAACAAAATCGGAGGTTAAGCTCTTGAAGCTCCTTTTTCCAATTACACTGAATGCAGCATGACGTAAACAAACACCGACTCCAGAGGCGCCAAAGTGGTTGCTGCTAGGATGCAGGATGAAGCGAAAAAGGCAAGCAACGATTACTGCGTATTTAAAAAAGACCAACAGTGAAAGTAGGCGGGACCGAACTGTCTGTTTATGCATGTTGGTTATAGGTTCAGTACGTTGTTGTCAGTGTTGGGACTTACTCGTTAAAAGCGCCAAAGCCTCATTGCTGACTTTAACAAGTCTCATCTACAAATATGATCCCTCATGAAGTTACTACTTTACACCAGAAGATAGTGGAGATGTGGAACCTTCAGGCTGAGCAAAGTTTGGGAGTTTTTAGAGTTTGAAAATCGTCTCCCGCTGAGAGGCTCCCAGTCGGAGAGAGGAGGAGATGCGCGCAACATGAAGAGCGTACATATTAGATAAAACGTACAATTGCCGGCAGGTCTGGTCTTTGTTGACTGATCACTTTGTCTGGTCATGACTGACTCTAATTATGAAGCAGAATGTTGACTCTGATGAAGAAATTCACTCATACAGCCGGGAAGATTGACGCTGCTGCAGCATCAGACAGCTGGTGCTGCACGAGAGGTGTGTGGAGTTTACAAGCTGGTTTTGATGTTGCTTTAACCTTCTTTGGGACATGATGGATGTAGAAATGATGGTAAAAACACCGCAAACGTGACAGACGTAGCGACAATGTAAAAAAAAAAGCCGTAAAAAAGAGGCAGATGTCGATGCGTTTTGTATGGAAGTCAAGTGTGCCACATAATCATAAAAAAAGTAAAATATAAAATTTAAAAAGAGATTTATATATTTATATATAAATAAAAACTTTCCAAATATAAAGAAAATTTATAAACAACATAAAAATATGAAGGAACATCTGTTGGTCAGGCTGAAAAGTTTGGGAACCACTGCTCTAAGTGATAAGTGAATTTCGTTTTCCGACCCCTGTGACTTTTGGATCCACCAAGAGGGTCTCTATGACTGGGTAAAGTAGACATGACAGATTGCGTCTGAATGTTCTTCTGATGATAACAACTTTATATCTTAGAGCAAACCAAATTCTTTTCACCAGAACTCAGCTTATTTTGATAAGGAAGCTCTGACTGACATCGCATTCACACATAGGTTCCTTCAGCACGTTTAGTTACATGCACTCACAGTAAATGCTTAATTAATTAGTCATGTTTTAAATTGTTTGTAAAATAAACTCTTACTTTTATAAACCTGACTCTTTCTTGAAGTAACACAAAGTGTGGTTGATCACTGAAAAAGCAAAAAAAACCTAGATCTTCTGAATTAAATCCTAGAATCTTCTGAATAATTACAATAAAGACCTCGCAGGTTAATATTTTATATTTATATAGAATATTACATCTTCCTGGCCATAACAGATTAAATCACCAATTTGCCTCCGCTACACATCAAAACACAGGGCAAATCAAGTCACAGAAAGAAAAATTGAAACTTTATTTGAAGTTTATTCTTACCAACACTTTAAATTAAAACCTATGTAATTACTCACAACTAATATAGATCTGCACATAGCAAATAAATCAATCAAAAATAGATACAAATTTCTATCGCATGTCCCTCAAAGCACACATAATCATAAACAAAAACTTAAAAAAAAAAAACTAAAAAAAACTGTTATTCTTTTTCCTGCTGCTGCCATTTGAAAGTAGTTAAAACAAGAACACAGCTCTCCTGTAGCTAATAAGGAAAAAACTGAATAAATAATTGCACATTGCACCCTATTATTGCATTAGTTGCAGTTTGTTTCAAAATTGAAGCATACTCAGTCATATACACAAATGGAAATACAGTTTTCGAACACAGAGTAATACATGAATATTGACGTTATTGAAATGACACCTCCACTTCTTACAACTCAATATTCCTGCTTTGCGGTTCATTTTTAATTATTCTACAAAATCTAATTAAATACTAAAATCTGATAGAAATGATGAATCGTCACTTTTTTCTCTCGCTCTGATAGTATAAAAGCTACGCTGCTCTCGAGGGTTTTCTTTGCTGTTACAGTGTACGAGCATTTCAGAAAGAATGTCTTTCTCAGTTTTAGCAAACAGTTCCAAAATCGTAAGTTCAGCTAGTTAATATTAACAAGCATTCCCAATGAAATACACGCAAGTGAATTTAAATAAAAACAAACAAATCTATTATTTCAGTGCTAGCACGGCTACTTTTTACACATCGAAAAGTAAGAATTATTGCAGAATAATCATTGACCATGAATCACTCAGTAGAATTAAACAGCATTTGGTCCAGTTACAAAATCACAATTATGCTATCAAAAACTTTGACAATTTGGCAAATATTTAGATGACACTTCTGCTAGCAACCAGCTAACGTAGCTTAGCATAAAGACTAAAAATCATAAAACATATTTTTTAAAAGTGCCTTCATATTAACCAGCAATTGCAGATTTCTGACAAAATATCTTAAGTATAAATTTTTAGTTAAGAGTCTTAGAGGTCTTAATGGAAATATTTTTTAAAAATTCATGAAACAGATGTAGGTAAGTATCACATTAAACTTTTTAGTTTAAATCCTCAGATGTTAGCGCTACGCAACCAGATATAGACTAGAAAATAATAAAACACAAAGGAAAAAGAACTACCCTAAAACATCAAATTCTTACTTCAATTAAATAAAATTATGATTCATAAAATTTTGTTCTTTCTTTGTATTTTGCAATAAAAGATAGCCTAGCCTTAGTAAGCCTAGGTAGAAATGATAAACAAGATCTTGTTTAGCATAAAATGACCACAATGAACCATTGGCAAACAAAATTGAATCTCTAAAGCAGAAATCTTTAGGTGCCACTTGGCTTAGTTATCCTTTTCTTCCTGTATTCAGTGTTTATGCTAAGTTATTACGCATTCACATCTGGATCGGCCAGGCCTAGCTCTGGTAGGGTAATTGTGAGCATATCAGCATGATCCATGGGTCTTCCATGCTGAGTTGACAGTTTTAAATATTTAAATTTTTATTTTTTTTACTTTTACCCAGCCCCCTGGCAGTCAGCTTGGCACAAAGCTGACTCAACACGACCAATATAAACTGATTGGCCAGCTGACTTTCATGTCTACTCACTAGTGGGAGCCTCTGATAGGTGGGTAGAATTAGCCAGTGGCAGCTTCCCAGTTGCGCGATTTGTTTTCAGTCTATATACAGTGAGATAAACATCTTCTCACACCTCGGACATGCCGCGGTAGCATGAGGACAGACTGCTGTGCAGCACCACTACTCAGTGAGACAGGATGAAGCTATGTGCTTCATGTCAGAGTCTCCAAAAGCAACACAGCTCACTGCCACTTATGTTCACAAAATTTAGGAGGACACCACAGACTTCTCTGCGAGTCTTTTGCCCCGCCCACATGCTCGGAGACACGGAGAAGGCTATGTGAACCACAAACATCATGGTGTGAACAATACCTGGCCGTGCAGGAGCGGGCCAACCCAACTAAGACCGGACTGAGCCGGGCCAGATGCAAAAAATGCTAGCATTTGTCTATTTTTTTCCATCCAAAAACAAAAGTCACACTGACCTTTTGCCTAAGAATTGCACATTTAACTAATTTTGGGCTTCTCCTTTAACCTAATGTCAAAAATATTCATATTTTAAGCTACTTGAAATGTAGTTCTCGGCAGGACCGACTCACTGGTTAATGCAGAATGTTTTTTGTGTCGCGTGATCCAGCAATAACATTCAACGGCTTGTATCAACATTAAACTTAGCTCAGCTGATGCTCGTGAAGAAGCTGCTTCTATGTTTTAGTTTCAATATTTAAAGTTGACCGAATATTAATGATGCCTCCATCTTATAGTAGGTACAATACAGCAAAGCTAAATTAGCTTAAGTTTCATAATCAGTCAACAAAAAAACATGTGCATCACAACACCGTAGATAAATACATCCTGGCTTTAGGAAAAGAAACCAGCAAAGAAGAAAGTGTCATCCAACTTGTCTGTTTAACAGAAAACAAAACAATGACATTGCTGACAATGTAGACATTCAAAACTAAAGCCTCAAATCAACTGTATGAAAATGAAAACAACTTGACAAGATAAACAATCGTGAAAAAGAGACTGAGTGGTCACGTCCGCCCAGGCCCTGTGGGTTCCCCCAATGAACCCCTGAACATTCCTTGGCCCCCAAAACACCATTTGGCTCTGTCCAAACATTTAGGTCTTTGAGACCAAAAGGTTTGAACACAACATCTGGCTTTTAAGTTCAACTAAACCTCCCACTTATGAGGCAGTCCAGAGTAAAGTGTTGAGTAGTCTATTGCATGAGCGCCGCGTAGTTGACTAATGCGTTAAGTCGCAGTAGTCCTTGTACAAAACAAATAACTCTTAAGATAGTAAACAATCATTTAAAATTTCAGTCAGTGCCTTAGCCACTGATTTTCGCTAATTCCCATTCATGCATCTATATACTAATGATTAGTTTTAATAAAAGGAGGCTAAGCTGGAAAGTTTTTCATCTGGGCAGGGTGTAGGACCAGACGCGAATGACCAAAAACGTTGAAAAAATTTAAATAAAATTTTGCGGAAAAAAGAACAGGACCACAAAGATAAAATGGCAACATTTGAAGGAGAGCATAAATCGAGCAGGTTTCTTCATATACACAACAATACAACACTGAAGACATGCAATATAAGCAACATCGTAACTGGAGGAAATTAACATAAGATGGGAGGCTCAAGGAGTGATACCATTGGCTTAAAAGGGTCATGTGATGCAGCAAAGACTCATGGGCTGAAATTAGACACAGATGCAAATTAGGACAAAAGCAGAACAGTCCAAATGTTTAGACGTTTCTAAATATTTTATCAAAATTGATTCAATTGGCTACATCCCACCACACACTCTGCCGATAGCATCACTGAGCAGCTGTTTTGTAAAATGCAAATAACTATGTTCTACAAAAAAAATACTTCTGTCTTTTACTAGTACTTTTTAAATACTTTTAAATTTTCTATGACGCAGCACTGACACATGATAGAGAAAGCAATAAAGAGAGAAAGAAGTAACACAAGTATTTCCTAAAACATTCAACATGCTTTAACAGTTCTCTAAAAAAAATCTAATCGACAGAGAGTTTCTTATTTATTTATTTATTGTAAATCTTTTGAAATTTAAGTTTAATTTGGCTCTCTGAAATAAAAGCGAGCTCCAAACCATCCCTGATGTCCTTTGAACCAGGGCGGTGAGGTGGTCGGGGTTTTCGGAGAGCCAGGGCCAAAGTCCAAAATGGCTTCATCAGGGTTGTCTGCGGTGGTCAGTCGTTAGAAAGGGCCAAACGGAGGAGCCAGTCAGGGATCTCAGGACGTGGTCATGGAAGATGGGTCGTTCCACATGGCTGCCACATCTCTGAACCTAAAAAGTTGAGAGGAATTGTACTACCCTCTAAAAAGCTGGGAGCATTTTAGCTTCTTTACTGAACCAAAAATGAAAGCTGTTGAGCTCTCTAACCTTGCATTAATGAGGTACTGAGCCAGGCTGATGTTGGCGGGGGTCCCTGTAATGGTGATCTGGCGCTCCGATGACCCTTCCATAGCGTTAGCAATTTTGATCTGCGCCCCAGACATCTGACGGATCTCGTTGATTTTGGTTCCCTGGCGTCCGATTATACAGCCTATTAGCTGGGAAGAAAATGGGGGAGGGAGTTAGGATGGCTGGACCAAGAAAATGAAAAGTCCATTGTGATACAAGAGATTGCTGATAAAGCTGAGAACCACAAATGAAAACTATAATATTGATAAAAGTGAAGGCAATAAATGTTGCGTTTAAAGTTTCAGATTGCTGCCATAAAGATGACTAACAAAGGATGATGAGAACGCATAGCTGAAATTATGATTGTTCAATTCAGTTGTTAATCCCTGACTTCCTTGTTTAAAGTATAATAAAAAGCATTTTTTTAAATAGCTCCATGGGGCGTTTAGAGGAGTGCAGAATGAATGCACAGTTTCTCTTTTAAAAGCTATATTTTAAAAAATAAATAATCACATTTTTACATTCTGTCGGGCACAACGCTGGGTTTATGTTTACATCTACCAGCCACTAGAGGGCATTGTTGCACTAAAAAGTCCTCTCAGCAAGGCGAGGCTGGGACTGTGTAAAATGGCAGACTTGACAAGTCAAGCAGCTGATTCTGAGCCCAGAAGATGATCTAACGATAAATACTGTTGTAAAATAAACTTATTAGAAATTTGTCCTTATCATGTACGATTTTTCTCTGAACACTGGAACGCGTCAGCAGTGAACCAACATGCCAACGGCTGGAAAATTAGACCTGTTGTTTCAACTCTGAACACCAGAGTTCGCCAGAGTGTCCGCGTAGGGATACTACGCACCTTTTTTAAAAATGATTTTTTTTTTGAGCCAGTATGTGCTAAAATGACCCTTTGCAAATGTCATTCAGACCCCACCGCCCCCTGTATACAATATTGCAACGTCTGAGTTGCCAGTTTGGTCCGTTATTGGAGCTGGAATCTGTTTCCAGCACATGTCCTGCATGTTTTAGATCATGAACAAACCTGATTTGTTTAATTTAGCGAAGAACCACTCCTGTAGAACCTAATGAAGGCTGGAGAGACACTTCAGCTGTTAGATTAAGGTGTTAAAAAGACAAATGCACACTGAGGAGATCAATTTCATTTTCGGTATAACTAGTGAACTAAAACGGACACTAGGGGGGGGCTAAAAGCAAGTAAAACTGCCTAGGATCCCTTTAATTGGTTTACATTTGTAATTCTTATCTTGTACAACATCAGTCAGTCGTTTTATTGGGCCCATCACATTATTTTGTGATGTTAAAAAAGAAATTGGAGATGAAATCATGGAGAAAATAGATGCATACTTTTGACTTTGTGATCCAGCCATGTTTGGGACAATGAGCTTCAGTGGTAGTTAGCTCCCAACAAGGGTCCTGCTTTCTTTTTGGTTCATCTAAATGCAAGATGAATTTCAATTTACTTTCTGACTGAAGCAATCTTAAATTTGACCTTTAAAACTCAGAAAAGGAGTTAGTAAATGTGACGGCAATGTCACACTAACCATTATAGATTTTTGAAAAGGTTTGACGCAACATTTCTTGATGGAAACCCTCAAGAGTAGCATTGTAGTTAATGGTAATGGGGTGGGAAAAAAAGAGTTACTGTTGAATAAAACTGCCGAGTAAGTGGTAGTCATTGAAGTATTTCTGTAGCTGTTTCAGCTGTCTTTTGTTGCTGAAGGCAACTCATTTGCCATTTTGTGGAAAGTCTCACTTTAATTCATTGTTTGCAAGTTTTGTTCAATTGTGACAGAGGAAAATGTAATTGACAGTGGACAAATGAAAATGCACTGATGCACATTTTTGCACAATATGAAATGTACTCACATCATTGGGAATGGTGAGTTCATGAGTACTGGCCTGGTTACTGGCATCCAGACCTGCTGCTGAACACAGGAAGCAGAAAGACAAGAGGGAAGCAAAAGGACAGGAAATAGTTTGGCATGTTGAGGGAACAATCCAGAAACTTTACTGATCATTTAAAGTATACTTAGAACCATGGCTCGTGTATGTGCAGAGCTAAAATACATAAAGCATTTCCTGAGGACTCAGACACAGTTTGGTATATCAAATACAAAGCTCTATCTCTTGTTATCTGCATTGCATGAAAGAAGAAACCAAGGAAAAGCCAGACATCAAAAGAAACCTCAACATAAACAAGAGCAGACCACCAGCAGGCCATGTCAATTGCAGTGCACCACAAAGACCATTAGGAAAAGAACGACAAGAAGAAGAAAAAGAGAAAGGACAGAGACAGGAAAAGAAGAAAGAGAGAAAAAAGGAGGAAGAGAAAGTGTTTTTCTCTACAGGTAAAAACGAGAGAAGGATCTTTGGTAAAGAGGGTCATTGTGTAGGTGGGTACGTACCGGGGAAGGCAGGGGTGGTCTGTCCGAGGGGGGTAAAGGGGGTTTGCTGCATAGCCAACTGGTGGAGCTTGCTCAACTGCTGAGGGGGGGAGGAGGAGGACAGCAGAGCTATGAGGTCATTGTTAAAAACACACTCTGGCTCACACACACGCACTCATAGACAAACACACATACATAGATTTAAAGAGAGAGGTTTGTTGGAAATGGTACAAAAGTAAAGAGAGGATCTGAGGAGCAGTAAGTTCACATACAGGTGAAAGACGCAAATCCGTAGAGAAAGTGAAAAGAAAGTTGGAAAGTTCATAAAAGACTTGGCCTGACCGGAGTAGTGTAGTGTTGGATCCATAAGCTCCACCCCCTTTAGTTACTGTTCAGGCTAGAACATTTTCTGTGTCCAAATTCAGGGGCTGCCCCCTTCAAAGGACCCGGCCTACCCGGTTGACGCTGACCCGGTCCTTCTTCGACAGAGAAGACCAGGAGCGAGCAAAGAACTGTGAAATTGGAAGGTCCGGCCTTGAGGTTGATTCCCACCCTTACCTCTGTGTATGTCCTATCACCTAGCAACTGTGATGGAGTGATGATGACAAAAGCCTAAAAACACAACCTCTTTAAAGCTGTTAAAACAAATCTGTAAACAAGCCTGGTTTGAAACGAAAACACGGTCACGGAACGTTCACCCCTCCCCTCGGGTATCTTCACAGATGCTTTTGCCAGATCCGGAAACCCACGATGCCAGACAAAACGAGATGGTGCTAAACACCGGTCTAAATGTCTTTTGTTGTCCGTGACTTCAAATGATGTTTTTTGTGCCAAAGTAGAAGTGGTAGCAGCCGGCTGGTTCTCCTTCTCTGATATTATTGAGCGGAGAACCTCACACCGGTGCTGTTCTGTTGCTAAATACATGAGTGCGTAATGAATGGAGGACCCAGGGAAGGGCAGCGGTTCGGCGAGACCGACAACCAGATGGTCCAGTGGTTGCTTTTGTTTTTAGACCACTTAACTAATTTTTTTTCTTCATTTTTTAGGATCTGATTTTTTATATTTATAGCTGGCCTGGTTGTAGAATGTTGTTAAGAGGCATGAAAAAAAAGTTACTTTTTCCCAAAACTGGTGTAGCAGCTTTAAGTGTTTACTTTTTGTTCCTCCTGATTTGAATGTACTTAAAGGGCAAGTCACCCCCAAATCCACTTCTTTTTTGCTGATTAGCTATATAAACGAGTGTCTGACCATGCTGTAGACACATGCAGTCAATCATTTGGCACTTAAGTGCATCTTAGTTAAAATTTAAAAATTCTGCCTAAAACTGTCATTGTTGCACAGTTGTCGGGTAAAAACTCTGCATTGCATTTAAATTTAATCTGCCATTGCTATAGGCTAAGAAGTAAACTATGATGTCAGCTGGTACATTATGAGGTCACGATGTCGTGTGTGTGTGTGTGTGTGTGTGTGTGTGTGTGTGTGTGTGTGTGTGTGTGTGTGTGTGTGTGTGTGTGTGTGTGTGTATTTGTTAGTGGCTCCGCCCTTTCAGTCTGCCAGGCAACAGCATTTTTTGCATTTTTCAAACAGGAAGTGGGAGTGGAGTAAGACTCTGGCAGGGGGTGACTTGCTCTTTAAATTTAGAACGATAATCCTTCCTCGCTTCGTTCACCGTTATTACAAAAACAAAAATCTCTGCTTGGGTCCACAAAGAATCTTGAGATATGGTTGGCCACGAAGGACCAGACTTGTCCTTGAAATCCAAGAAAAATTACACATGTCTTGGGCCACATTTGGAAGAGGCGTTGAATTTGGGCAACCTTAGTTGCTTCACTGTGATGTAATCAACCTTCAAATGCACGTTTTAAGAATGTAGCCCCTGAATGGGCGACGGTGGCACAGGAGTTAAGTGCTCGCCCAGTAATCGGAAGGTTGCAGGTTCGAGCCCCGCTCAGTCTGTCGCTGTCGTTGTGTCCTTGGGCAAGACACTTAACCCCCCTTGCTTGCTGGTGGTGGTCGGAGGAACCGGTGGCGCCAGTGCTCGGCAGCCTCGCCTCTGTCAGTGCGCCCCAGGGCAGCTGTGGCTACATCGTAGCTCATCACCACCAGTGTGTGAATGTGTGTGTGAATGGGTGACCGACTGATTGTGTTGTGAAGCACCTTGGGGGGTTCCAGGACTCTAGAAGGCGCTATATCAAATACAGGCCATTTAAATCAAATACAGGCCAGTTGAATTGTGATTCAGCCATAGTTGTGCTGCTTAGCTCATAGGCCCCACCCCTTATTGATACTGCTTGGGTCCTGTTAAATACAAATCCCTGCCTTGTATAGGATCTGTTATGTCTGTCCCAAAGTATTTGAGACCATCACCTTTTCTAGCACTCAAGTTAAGATCTTGGTAGTTAGCAACACTCATTTTAGTTACTGATTGCTCTCTTGAACATTGTCTTGGACACATAAGGCATCGCCTGTATATTTTAACATTTTGTCAAAGACACGACCAGCTTGTTCTCCCACTTATACCCCTCCCAAATATATATATATATATATATATATATATATATATATATATATACACACACATCAAAAAGCTCTAGTTAGTCTGGTGTTCTGAACTTTTCAAACCAAACTATTTAAAAATGTATCTGGCAAAAATATACCCTAATTTATGTATACCAGAATTTTTGCAGTTGAGTGTTAAATGTTTCAGGCCAAGCCCCCATGAGATTTAATGCCAGAAAGAAGGCAGGCAGCCAAGAAGCTTTAGAGTCAGGACAGAGGAAACACACGTAGAAAGAGCTGAATTAATATTATCAGTCAATATTAATAAAGGTGGTAACAGAGAGAGGTTTTGATGCTGCAAGTGAGATTGATGGCGATTGCAGTGTTGGCTGCTTCGTGGGATTAGCACTCACATCTGGATGAGGGATGGCATACTGTCCTTGAATGGTGTAAGCCTGTAAGCACGAGGACAAGAGCGCGTTACCACAATACTTTAACTGAATACAATTCATGTGATCACAAAGAAGCTAAACTTGTTAACTCATCCAAGAAAATGGCTAATATTTCTACAGCTTTAACACTACATTTACTAATTGTTTATTTAATTATGTTTTCTCTGTCATATTACATATCAATCATGCACTGTAGACTCCTATCAGGTTCTCCTTTAATTCATCAGTCAGATCCAGTTGAACTAAATCAATAAGGGACAGCTCACACAGCAGGATGGTGACTGGGAGAGAGTGGATAAAACCAGAGGAGCAACCCTGAGAGGAGTGATGGGACGTATCCTGCTGTGGGGTTTTGGTGTCACAAAGGTCAGAACTGAACAAAATCTTATTAAATGTAATGCAAAGTATTGGTGTTCCTGAAAAACACATTTGGATATTCACTGACCATCTCTGGTCCTTCAGGCTGCTGTAGCAGCTTTTCTCTGCCTTTACAGCAGCACTAGCTGTCAACATTTTTTATTTACTTTTTTCTTGATAAATTAGCTTTAATTACTTGGTTTCTGGATGCTTTGTGTTTCAAACTACTGTGTGAACGTTACAAAAATATTTCTCATCATTTTTGCACTCTACTACTTTCTTCTACAGTCTGCTCTTTAACTGTATTATTTCCTGCTATTTCAGCTGTTAACTTTATATTTTCTCTAAGTGTTTTTCTCCCCAGAAGAAGCTACAATGATGTTCTGCTGAGCTGTGGTGGCCTCATGGAGGGGACCATCGGCTAGCACACTGCTGCTAACCACTTAAACATTCTCCCTCTCCTGATAATAACTTTTTGTTTCCTTGACATTGGATGTGCTACTACTAGTTTACTCGTTTAATTATAGATTCAATAGGATAAATACAATAAAGTTTATCTCTCACCAAATAGAATACTTACTAAGCAATCACGGTGTAACCATAGACACATCACTTGGTGTGTGTGTGTGTGTGTGTGTGTGTGTGTGCGTGTGTGTGTGCCTGCTCTGTCTTCTCCATCCCCAGTGAGTCGTGGTGGATGGCTGCTTACACTGAGCCAGGATCCTATGGAGGTTTCTTCCTGTTAAAAGGGAGTTTTCCTCTCCACTGTCACTTTATGCTTGCTTAGTATGAGGATTGCTGTATAGTCACTGACACTAGTCAGTGACTTGATGCAATTTGCTGGGTTCCTTATATAGGACACATTATTTCTGATTGGCTTAATGAACTGACCTGAATTGGAATGTTTATCATGTGAAGTGCCTTGAGATGACTCTTGTCGTGATTTGGCGCTATATAAATAAACTTGAATTGAATTGAATTGAATGTACCACTTCCTTTTCATTTTTGTCAATCTATTATAGGTTCATTTTCAGAATTTATACTTTTGCTTTAATCACAGCTAAACGCCCCAACTCTGCCATCTGCTGGTATAAATTTGTTTCTGTAGTCCCTTCCTTAAAGGTATGGGACACTCGTTTAATTAAAACATTTTCAGTGGTCTAGTAGGAATAAATGCCTTTTAAGTCGTAATTGGGAGAAAAAAAGCTCTGGTGGGCCAGTTTCAGAAACTGGAAGTGAGTCACATTAGAACTGAGCTTCAGACAACAGGTTTTGGACTCTTTTTTTCCTGAAAGGGTCAGTAACAAGATGGCGCCTGTGCTTGGCTTGGTCACCGGCCACTTTTTCAAACTTTTCTCCATAATCTCCTCTTTTCCACCTTGCTCCTGTCTGTGATCCTCTTTAGTAGTGTCCCTGCTACCATCTCCTATGATCGACAGACTCTTTTGTGCTTCCGTTCGTTCACGATCGCCCAAGATGCACCGAGGACGCACCTCCCTGTTTGTTTACCTGAGTGGCGCACTGGCCCGGAGCCAAACGACGATTCCAACCTGCGCACCTCCAGCGATGTTTATCCGGTCCAGGGGGAAACATTGGAGGAAAAGAGGGAAACGAGCAAGGAATCCAGGTGAGAATAAGTCTTCTCTTAAAGTGTGGTTCATCTAGTAAACATCGGCGTGATCTTCTAGCTTCTTGTCCTTTGTTTGGTGACATGAGCGGCACTTCCGCATTCCCGCCAGGCCGCGTTGCGACGCGGTTTCTCCGTCCAAGTATTTTAAGGTCTGTTTTTCCTCATTCCTCAGTGGTTTCTCCTCCTGTTCCCTCCATAAGTGGTTTTTATAAACACCGTGGATCTAACCCTGCTAATTTACATCCACTAACTCCAGCTGTTTCTGTAGTTTCTGATTCCTCCACCTCACTCAGCATGGCTCTATTAAATACCCGCTCTGTTAACAATAAGTCTTTCCTGCTCAATGATCAAATTATCTCTAAAAACCTGGATTTTCTGTTTCTGACTGAAGTTTGGCAGCAAACATCTGATTATTCTGCTCTGATTGAACTCTGCCCGAGTGGTTATTCTTTTCTTAGCCAGCCCCAGGGTTCTGGTCATGGTGGAGGCCTAGCTGTTGTTTTCAGAGACCATCTTCTATGTAGCTCTACAACCTCTGGTCACTTTGCTTCCTTTGAACTGCAGCTGATTAAAGTCGGGCGTAAGGACCCGTTCTACTGTGCTGTGGTCTATCGTCCACCTGGTCCTAACAGTTCTTTCCTTCAAGAGTTTAGTGACTTTCTATCCTCCACTGTGAAGCTGTCCAGACTGGTGATTGTTGGTGACTTTAACATCCACGTTGATGATCCCTCTGATCACTTTGCCATGAATTTCTCCAGCCTTATGGACTCCTTCAGCTTTACTCAGCATGCTTCTGGCCCCACACACACCAGGGGCACACTCTAGACCTTGTTTTTACCCCGAGTCTAAATGCTGACAGTGTTTGTCCTGAGGACGTTTATATTTCAGATCACCATTGCATTTTCTTTAACTTGTCAGTTCTGCGTCCCCACCTCCTGCTCGCCGTATGGTTAGCTCTTGTTTTCTTAATGAGAGCACAGCTAGCAATTTTTCTGCTGCTTTTGATCCACCCTGTTCTTCTGATAAAGACCCAGATTCCTTAATTTCTCAGTTTAACGAGCACTGCCTCTCCATTCTGGACAACATCTGTCCTGTCAGAACCAGATCAGTTCCTGCAGTGAACCCTACTCCCTGGTTTAATGACAGCCTTCGCAGCCTGAAGCGCCAATGCAGAAAATTTGAGCGTTTGTGGAAGAAAACCCATCTCCACGTCCATCTGCTTCACCTAAAGGATCTTCTGACATCCTTTAACTCTGCAGTCAGAGATGCAAGGGTTTCCTATTTCTCCAACCTGGTGTCCCAGAGCAAAGGGAACCCCAAGGTGCTGTTTAACACCATCAGCAGCATCATCTCTCCTGCCTCTCCTACAGCCTCCATCCACTCTGTTGCAGACTGTGAGAACTTTCTGTCTTTCTTTGTGGACAAAGTCAATAAGGTTAGATCTAGCATCTCTCCTTCAGCCTTATCGCCGCCTCTCCCGACTCCAACCAGGTCCATCATCCTAGATAGCTTTGCTCCTGTTTTTTGCCTGAGTTAACCAAACTAGTTAACTATGAAGACCTCTGCATGCCCCCTCGACATCTTACCCTCATCTTTGTTTAAAAGTGCTTTTCAGTCCATCGGTCCCAGCGTGCTCTCTATAATTAATGCTTCTCTGGTTTCTAGTCAGGTCCCTGCTTACTTTAAGAACGCTGTAATCCACCCACTTCTTAAAAAAAACGAGTCTTGACCCCTCTCTCCATAGCAGCTTCAGACCCATCTCTAAACTTCTGTTCATCTCCAAGATCTTGGAAAAGGTTGTGGCTAAACAACTCACAGCTGCTCTTGATGAACATAACATCTATGATAGCTTCCAGTCAGGTTTCCGTAGAGCTCATTCTACTGAAACAGCTCTTCTTAGGGTCTCTAATGACCTTCTGACTCACAGTGATGCAGGGGACTGTTCTGTTCTGGTCCTGCTGGACCTGGCTGCAGCCTTTGACACTGTTGACCATCACCTGCTACTGGAGAGGCTGAGAGACTGGGTAGGCCTATCAGGAACTGCTCTGGAGTGTTTCTCCTCTTATCTCTCTGAGCACTCCTTTTCTGTGGCCGTCTCCAAGTTTATGTCCTCCACCACCTCCCTTGCCCATGGTGTCCCACAAGGCTCTGTGCTGTGGCCTCTGCTCTTCCTCCCCTCTTCAGCACATCCTGAGCTCCTTCAAAGGAATCTCCTACCATCTTTATGCAGATGACATCCAACTGTACATCTCCTTTAAGCCCCATGAGATGTCTAAGCTGCAGCTGTTACACACCTGCTTAGACTCTATCAAAACCTGGATGGCTGGGAGCTTTCTTCAGCTGAATGAAGATAAGACTGAGATCCTCATCTGTGCCCCAGACAAGCTGGTTCCCAAAGTCAGAGACTCTCTTGGTCAGCTTGCTTCTCACACCAAACCCTCCGTCAGGAATTTTTGCGTGACCTTTGACCCAGCTCTCATCCTGGATTCTCATGTCAGTTCTCTAGTTCGCTCTTCCTTCTTCCATCTCAGGAACGTTGCTAAGCTGAGTCCCATTCTGTCCCGCTCTGAACTTGAGACAGTTCTCCACACCTTCATCTCCTCACGCTTAGACTACTGTAACTCTCTTTTCACGTGTCTGAGCAGAACCTCCCTGAACCGTCTACAGGTGGTTCAGAATGCCTGTGCTCGGCTTCTGACCAAGTCCTCCACACACACCCACATCACCCCGCTTCTCCTCCAGCTTCACTGGCTGCCAGTCAACTTCAGGGTTCATTTCAAGATCCTGGTTCTGGTCTATAGGGCAAGCACCATCTTACGTTGGTGATCTTCTTAGTCCCTAGACCCCCAGCAGGTCCCTGAGGTCCAGTGACCAAAGCCTACTGGTTGTGCAGCACCAGGCTAAAGGTCAAAGGTGACAGATCATTTGCTGCTGTGGCCCCCAGACTCTGGAACTCTCTCCCCCTGAGCCTGAGATCAGTGGACTCAGTGGTCTCCTTTAAAAAGCAGCTGAAGACTCACTTGTTCAAGCTGGCTTTTGTATGACCTTCTTCACCTCTCTCTCTTTATTCTGCTCTCCCCACCTATTCCACCTTCCTCAGGATCCACTGATTTCCCTCTTTCCTGTTCACTCTCTCTCTTTCTTAACATTTTTTTAATCATAATTGTCTATTTTTGCTGATTTTAAACATGTTTTTAACCATTTTCTAAATGCTTTTTTATATTTTTTACATTTTTTTGTTTTTGTGAAGCGCCTCGTGGTTTTTATCTTGAGAGGCACTATAGAAATTATATTTTCTTCAGGCCGTTTTAGCTGTCTTCCCTTTAAGAAAAGCCTGCTTTTGTCTAATTGGCCAGTTTCTGAGCATCAGTACCCCATTGGTTTATGTCTAGTTTGAAATCCTATTTGAGATCATCAGCATGAGAGTAAATTTATAATTGCAGGCTGACATTTTAACTTGTGGGTTATCATGGTTTTTGTGTTTGTGCAACAAATTTGTTTTATACAACAACAAAAAAAAACTTTTGTAAATTATTGGGAAATACAAACTACCATCAGTTGACAGGGGTCATTGGTTATTATTTTTGATGTAAATATTGATATTTCTTGTATTACAGTAAATGAATCAATGATGGAATCTATAAAATATTGTTTAAATAGAGTTTAAAGTTTAAACCCCCTGATTTACGTTTAAAAATGTGCTGGTGAAGGTATCTCAGGAAGCTTCTGAATCTTCTCAGAGCAACGTAATTTATGTAGATTTTTCTCAGTTCTGGCTCAAGTGGCTCCAGGAGAAGGTTGACAGTCCACAGCAGTGATGGTCTCATGCTAGTCAGGACAGGTGAGAGGGGGTGAGGACAGGGGAGGAAGAGTGAGTAAAACCTGGTGCGACACTAACAGGCAGTGGCTGGTGCTGCAGTAAGAGGCTGAGGTTGGCTGTGGACGCCCCCAGTGGGTCTGCTCTTACCTGGCCACCTGAAAAAATGACAGGGGTGGAGGCAGGCTTTGGGCGGTAGGGGATGGTGGCACCTTTCGGTGGGGACTGAGGAGAGCAAAGGAGGAGAGAGTGAGGGGAGGAAGAGGGGGTGAGACGTGGAGAGAGTGTTAGAACAGAAAGAAAGAGAGAAAGAAGTTGCATAAAGTGAGACCAGAAGGAACGGTGCCTTGGGGGGGGGACGACCTGTGACACACAAAAGTGCTCTTCACTGTGCGTTCATGCTGGCGTAAAATGTTCAGATTGTGGACTCGGTGCACAACTAAACGTGGATTTACCTGGAACATCACTTTCAACTGGATAATGATGACTCAACAAACTGCATTTTAAATATTGTTTTCAGTCCGAACTCTGGAGAGACTTACAGTCACGTGACAAATGTCCTAGCAGCCATGGCTGGTGCCATCATGAAGGCCCAACGGAGAACCGGCTGTGCAGATAGTTAAAATTAATGATGCGACAAGAAGAAAGACACCAAAACAGTGTGTGGCCCTATGATCCAACACGGTAATCAGAATAAATCCACAGGGGAATATGTTCCGTGTGTGATAACAAGTAAGTATCTCACTGGACTACATCTGCTGGAGAGCAATCAAATTAGAAAATTAGTTGTTGGAAAATCTACGTGCTAAATTCCTGTTAAAGAATGAAGACATAGTGAAATTTCTCATCACAGTTTAGTCCCAAGGAGTTGTATTTACATGGTAATTTGCTTGCAGTTGATTTTAATCATAGTTTGGTCATCATCCCCTCCCCAAGTTTTCTCGTATGTCTCGCGCTTTTAAACCCATGAAAATCGTGAAGCCTTTTCAGGCGCTCAGTATTTTGACAGAAACCTTGGGTGTTTCCCAATGTCAAGGCGCCTTGCTTACGAGGACACTGTCCTTTCTTGATCAATGAAAATGGTTAAATGGAACAGACTTACCTCACATGACCGCGGCTGCACAGAGCCTGCCTTTTGCTTATGTGCTTTAGGTTCCACTCATCATAGTGATATAGTAACATAGCCCTTTACTTTTTTAATTGTGTATATATTGGTTAAAGTAAATGTGTAAGTGAGTGACTACTCGCTAGCCACCAAATCTGCCACTACTAAGCAACTAACCAACCAAAAATAACTTCTTTGAATCCAAAAAAACAATTTAGATATCAGCCCACTTGCTACAATTAGTTGACTTATATCTAAATGGGAAATTTACCCCTGAAATAGCTGCTGCCGGCTACGGATCTTCCGTCTTTTTGAAAATACTGCGCTGCATTCTGGGAAATCTTTGAACGAGGGAAGGCAAGGAGACACCTATCGTGTATCCTTGCTCATCTAGCTAAACGGCTAACAAACGGAGAACAGAAACCTCTGCACCAAAACTCGCACTTGCACCCTCGCGTCCTTCACTTGTACGTTCCCGGCCAGGGGTGCGAGTGCGTAGGGTGTCCCGATTCTCAAGTGCAGAAGTTGACCACGCCCCCATTGCACCTTTAATCTGCACTTCACCCATGTCTGCAGCGATGCAGACCTCGGGCAAGGGAATTACCCACAAGTCATTGCTGCAGGAGAAAAGGGTCAAGTTCCTTATCTGAAAATATGTATTTTCTAACGAAATGAGTTTATTTTAGGAGGATTAGTTGATGCTCTAAAACTTTTAGACAAAGCAGCAACATGTGTAAATTTATTTCAAATAACTGTTTGGCCGTTTAAGTTGTTAATAAAAGTTTTTGAAAAAAGTATCACAGCGACCAGCATCCTGGCATGCGTTGCGCAGAGCCGTGTCCAGGACTTTTAAAATGGGGTGGCCCATGTGGGGCACTTGTTTATTCATGGGTGGCACCAATGGTTATGCTTATTTATTTATTTACACAAATTGTTTATTTATTTATTTACTTTCTAGTGAATTTTTGAGTTTCACATTGCACAATCACCATTTTTTCCCCCTCTTCATCTTCTACTTTTGTGGTGGTTAGCAAGTCACTTCTTGTTCATTACTGCCACCAACTGGAGTTGAGTGGGACTCTAAATACTATGTATGTGAATATGAAAAAATATTAAATAATATTAATACTACATGCCTGGGCTAGAAAACAAGGTGAAAGGTGCATTCACCCACGCACTGTTTTGGAGTTTACAACCCAAGCCTTTTGTCGACAATGTCGAGTCAATTTAAACAGGAACTTAGTGGGGTGGCACCTGGGGTGGCCAATCAGATTGTAAGGGTGGCATGTGCTACCCCCGGCCACTCCCTGGACACGCCCCTGGCGTTGCGATCGATGATGCAATGCTCCCTGTCTCAATTCTGTTATTATTTGCACACTTGTGTACTACGCACTCAAACCCAACTGTGCACTTTCTCCAAGTGCACTTTTCTGAAGTCCGCAGGGCGCAGTGTGAGTGTTGAGAATGGGCCGGACATTGGAACACGCCTTGGCGGTTCCTGATGACGTATCTCCTAGGCAACTGAGGCGGGACCAAGGCATCAAGGCGAGGTTCCTTGACATTGAGAAACACCCTTATTGCAGGAAAATGAGATTCCTCACAAAGATTTTGAAACTTGAACTTGAATGCTGATCGCAATTTGTCACTTGTTAGTCTAGTGAGATACTGGCTTGAATGGTAGTTTAAAAGTTTCTCATGGGGTCATAATGTTATGAGAATAACACAGAATAATGTCGTTTCTTCATGGTCATTGCTTTATTACTTATCTTCACTTCCTGTCCGACGAAACTCAGCCATCTCGCCTGTCTCTTTAAGATCCTCCTCCACAAAATGTTTCATAAGTTTGAGCTTTTTCTGTTACTAAAAATATGACTTCATGTGGTAAAAATTACATACTGTTGTGATCATTTCTTACACACATTTCCCAAAAATATTACTGATTCAGAGCAAACTTGGGCTTCACCTGAAGGAAACGTCTCATGTCCGCTGTGTAAATGAAACAGCGCTAAAGTATAAATGTATCCACAGATCAATGTTGTTTTTTCTTTTGCTTTTGACATTAACGTTTAACCTATTGAGACCCTTTATCATTAAAATTGGCTCCTTGAACTATGTTTCGTTTAGCTTACCTTGGACTTGTTATTCATAGCAACTGGTCTTAAGGTTTACTTTCCTATTTTTTATAGATATTATTCAATCCAAAAACATTCTTTTTTAAAATTTCTTTTTGTTGTCTCGTTACTGAGGCCTTGCTGGAGGAAATGAAACAAAAGCCCAGGTCTGAGGAGGTTCGAGTACCACCAAACTAATTTCTTGTTCATTCCACAACCCGCCTTTCTGAAAAAATATCTGCATAAACATTTTCCTATATTTCACATATTTGTGTGATCCCCATCCCCCCATCCCTTCCCCACTGTACCTCCAGCATCACCACACATATCTGTTTGACACACTGGATGATGGCTTCTGGGGCCCCGGAGATGGTCACGGCTCTCTCGGTGGAGTTGGGCAGCATGTCACCTGCCACCTGGACCTGTGCTCCCGTGGACTGAAGGTAAACATGAAACCACTCAGTGACTCATCCTTCACTGACCCTGACTCCTCTTTAAACAGGGAGTGAAATCTAATTATCTGGGAATAAAAGGTGCTTTGAGCGTCACTCTCGGGATTACCCAGAAGGGGAAGGTTAAATTGAAATTAAATGATCCATAAATAAGAAATCTGCATGGAAATTTTATGGGAATTTCATGATATTCAAGTGGTGCCCCTACCTCTCTCATCTCCTTGATTTTTGATCCTCCTTTGCCAATGAGGGAGCCACACTGGCTGGCAGGGACAACCAGTCTCAGTGTTACTGGTGGTTTACTGGTGGCTGGGCTGTTGCTCATGGAGTTGATTATGTCCTAAAGAGGAAAGAACAGGCTTATGTTTTACCCAAACTCCACCTGCCAGAAGTAAAGCCAGCGTGGAAGTGATGAAAATTGCAGTTCCCCCCCTTATCCACAAGGGGCTGCTTTCAGAAAGGAGCAAGTTCCCATTGAGTCCCATGTTAAAAATGTCAGCTTCACAGCAGAAGCATGTTTACAGCCTGGTTCAAAAACATTTAGGTTTAACAGGATTTTGTAACTCGTCCATTGAGATGTAATCAAAGCTTGAAATAATTAATACTTAGGGGCGTGTCCTTTTGGTTGACAGGTGTCAGATCAGCCAGCAGCGCTAGCAGCCTGCCCCCCTGCTTGCTCATCAGCACCCCAGAAGAAAGGCTCGAACTCTGGTAACCGGTAATGGTCGGTAATGGTTGTACCCCATGTGCAGCAATACCGGGACCAGAGTGAATAGGGTGTGTATGGGGAGCATGAGTGGGTATCCGGCGTGCATTTTTGTAAGTCTTTGGTTGTATGTGCATGTGTGAGCATGAGGGAGGGAGTGTGTGACTGTGTTTGTGTATGACTGTATATGTCAGGTGGGGCCTTTGACTCCTCCCCTCTCCTGGGACTTCTTTTGATGCTATACATCTTCGTCTCCCCTCCCCCTGCCATACCCGGTGTGGAGTGCGGTGCCTTGGTCTGCCTGAGTGTTCGTGTCTCCCGGGTCAGGGGGTTTAAGATTTTTGGCATCTGCCTGAGTAATCCCGGTGGCTGCCTGGTGGGATCTGGGTCCCTGTGTTTGTATTTGTTTTTAGAAAAAGGTCCTTCTGGATTTCTGTTAATGTGTTGTTTTTATTTACTGTAACAATTATGGCTTAGGTGTGCTGGCAGCACTCTTGGATTAAGTTTCATGTAGTGAACTCTCTGGTTTTTTACTGTCCCATATCAGATAATTAATGTACATCAGTGGGAACTAAAGTTTTATTTTAGGGAATCTGTTACTAAACGTTAACTGGAATTACGACTGTTCAGATCTACCTAACAAATACTAATTCTGTAACTTCCTGTCTCTTGAGGATTACAGATAGATTTTGCTCATCTTGAGAAAAATGGATGGATGGATGGATGGATGGATGAATGGGTGAATGTTTGGTGCTGTTGACAGGCTCGACTCGGTTCAAACCAAAACAGCATACTAGCCCACTTTCAGAGAGTGCTGCAAGGTTAGATCAGCACATTTTTGTCCTACATAACATGGCCAAGTCTGCTTTGTCTCTCACCTGGAAACGAGCCAGCGAAGGCACTGACCGGGTTGGTTATCATTGGTTCTGTCCCCTTATACTTTCAGAGTGATTGGCAATTTGGTATTACTTTATGTATTTAGGCTCAGTTAGGGACATTTTTAAAGAGCAAGTCAACCGCTACCAGAGTCTAACTCCACTCCCACTTCATGTTTGAAAAATGCAACACATGCTGTTGCCTGGCAGACCGAGAAGGAGGAGCTGCTAACAAATACACACACACACAGGCTCACGACAGCATTGTGACATCATAATGTACCAGTTTACATCATAGCATACCTATTAGCCAATAGCGGTGGCAGATTTAAATTAAAATACAGTACAGAGTTTTTACCTGACAACGGCACAACACTGACAGTTTTAGGCAGAATATTTAAATTTTAACTAAGATGCACTGAAGTGCCAAATTATTGACTACACGTGTCTGCAGCACGATTAGATACTCGTTTATTTAGTTTATCAGCAAAAAAAGTTTATTTGGGGGTGACTTGCTCTTTAAAGATGCGTTCATGTAAAGAGAAACACCCGCTGGGGTTCGTTTCTTCATTCTTAAGGAGAACTTAATAGATAAAGCAACCTTTAACCCAAAAAAAAAAATAGAAACAAAAACACGATGAACAGTGTAACAATATTTTGCTCATCACAAAAAAATTTATAGTTAAAATGTAAAAACAAAATAAAAACAAAAAACCCAAACATTTTCTAAATGATCAATTTGCAACGACACAACCTACGCATTTTTTATTATTATTTGTTTTTTGCTTTTTATTAATTTTACTATTCAGAGGTGATTTGTGGATTTGTTTTTTGAAATAATGTTAAATAATTTTTTTATATATTATATTTAAAACTCTGAACCTGTCCAGTAAAACTAATTCTTACACAAAATAATTACCCAAAGACTCAGTGAGAAATTTTACTCGTTACCTTAATGAAAAATAATTCTACAACGTACGATGTGTCAAATTATATAATTACAGAGTGTACTAATGGGTTTTACCTCCTCAAACTTGTAGGCGATCATGGCGAAGGCCTTGAAAATGGCGTCTGTTGGTCCGGTGATGGTGACTATTCGCTCGGGGCAGTTCCCTTCCGAGATGTTGATGCGAGCTCCACTCTAATAAAACAGAAAAACCCAAGAATTAACAAAAAAAAATTATTTTAATTATATATATATATATATATATATATATATATATATATATATATATATATATATATATATATAAAACAAGGGGAAATAACTATTGTAGGAAACAAAGTTTTTTCTTACATCTTCACGCATTTTCTTCACTGTTTCTCCTTTCTGGAAACAAAGAAAAGAAAATTTTGCCTGTTTTCTCTACATTTCATCATCATTTATAAAACAATTCTTAGAACTTCTGTGATAAAAAGTACCTTTCCAATGATGCTTCCCACCTCCTGCAGGAACAAAAACCTAAAGTTTTACATCCATTTGCTCCACTGGAGATTCTTTTTAACAAATTTCTAGACAGAAAATTGAAATCCAGAAGATGTTTGGGACGTCTGTACCTTTCCGTGCATCAGCAGTCTGATGGTGAGGGTCACGTTCAGTCCTCCTTCTGACTGGACCTTGATGGGCTCCATGTTGGGATTGGATGTGAAGGAAAGGGGTGTGGTAATGTGAGAGAGGAGATTGAGGGCCAACGCGAGTGTGATGTTGGGGTCAGTCAACCGGTCACCTGCAGAGAAGAAATCAGACTTAAAAGGTGACTAACACCAACCGGGGACATTAATATGAGCCCAAAGAGGGCCAAAATATACTGATTATAGAGGTTTACATTTATGCTAATCGGATTTAATGCAACCTGATTCTTTCTACACAAAAAGAAAATAAATTAGCATAAAGTGGGGAAACTACTTGCTTAAAACAAAATAAAAAATTGATTGTTGAGGGCTTATTTATATTTTATTTAAGTTTTTGCAGCAAAAATACAGCTAATGAGACAATGTATATGAATGTAAATAAAATTGCCATTACAGAAAATTTATTCTAAAGCAAATTTGTTTTGAGTTGTGTAAAGGCAGCGTGGAAACAAAACTTTATTGATGTAAAAAAAAATTTCTTCATAAAAAGCTACAAAACTGACCAGGTTTATTTTTTATTTTTTTTCTATAATAAGCTACTTATTTCAGTGGAGTGTCCTAACAGGCACTATATAAGTTCGGTGAATTATTATTTATTATTAAAAATGGAGAGTAGGTTCATAAGAAAAAAAACATAAGAATTTTTAATCTATTTTTATCATGCCTATCTGTTTGTCCTCTTTTAGGTGATGTAGAGTCAAACTGGCCTTGCAGTAATTGTATCACACAGTAGATGGCGCCCCACACCACAATCATAACATTTTGATGATGGATGAGTAGCTCACAAGAAGTGAGCTGGAGGGTTTCATCTGCAGCTGGATGCAGAAATCAGTAACATGCAGACTGATGGATACACTTTCATTGGATGGTTTAGATTATTGGATGATCGGCATCAAATTTCAGCTTTAAACTAAAAAAAATAAACATTTTTACATTTTCATTTAAATGAGACAAACTGAAGCTATAAATGATACTCAGCAGAGAGCGCAGAAGTTATTTTTAATGTAAGAAAATTAGGATTGTTCCTTCTATCAGTTGCCGTCTAGATAAAGAATAAACATAGAAGCTCCTGGAGCAGCTGACCTTGACTGAACAGACAGATAAAGTCGCCGTCTGCCAGTCACAGCTGCTGTTGCTACGTGGAAACAGAACTATATTTATATATTTCCCGCCTGGCCTCCTGAGCTATGACTAATTATTACCTGATGCCTATTTGAAGCTGGAAAAATTATAATATTGAGTTAAACAGCTGTGTTTGTTTAGTTTTCATCACAAATCTGACCATCTAAAAGAAAACTGGGATTATCCCAATGATGTTACCATTATTGTTTGAGAATATGAGCTGTGTTTTTCTTATTAATCTATGAAATATCATTTTCGTTCATCTACTTTTTAAAAATCTTTTTTTAACTGAAGAAAAACACACAAAAAATAAATTATGAGAAATTCACCTACAAATTTAAAGAAGCGGGTTTTCTCTTTGGTCTGCAGACATATTGATTTATTGATTTAGATGAAAACATTTACTCGTAAATAATTTATTTACATAGAGGGTCATTTCCAGTCACAAAATCATTTAAGTTTCCTAAATCATTTAAGGAAAACATAGAGGAACTTAGATTTGAACATCTTTAGCCTTGTGATACACTCTCCAAAACGTCTCGAAACTTTCTCAAAGGTTCTCACATTTCCTTGCTGTTGTGTCGTGGGACGATTATGCATGTTCTAAAAATCTGAGGGATAAATGACCCCCCCCCCCCAAAAGAATCTTTGTTTATTCTAGTTAAAAAGTGTGTGCAATGTGAGACCACTTTGGGAGGAATTGGAGAGCTATGAAACTAAGTTGTGACTGACTGGAGACATGAAAACAAAACAAGGATCTGATAAGGATAATAGCAAATTAATTGAGGGTATATTGCAAGCAAATTAAGTGATAAATAATATCCTTTGTGACTAAATTGTGACAAGAAAAATTAGCTTGGCGTTCACAGGAATGTTGTATTTTATTTAAAAATAAGCAAAACTTTTGTGAAGCTTATGTGTCACTGGATTATGGGAAATTATTTAAACATATAATCACTGTTTCTTGTGTTGAAATTCCAAATAAATGAACATTTGCGTGTGTGTGTGTGTGTGTGTGTGTGTGTGTGTGTGTGTGTGTGTGTGTGTGTGTGTGTGTGTGTGTGTGTGTGTGTGTCTCCAATCAACCACAACCTGGTTTTCAATCATCTGCAAAGCCTCTCAAAGTTGCCTCCCATTTCTTCCACTTAGACTCGTGAAAATGACATTGAGATGGTTCCAAAAACGTGATGATTTTGTGGCTTTTTTAGAACGGAAATTTCTCTTTTATTTATTTTTACAAATTTTAAATGCAAGCAAAGTGCGAGCAAAGTTGTGCAACTCCTGCTGTGTAAATTTAGAAATGTCGCAAATGTTTCGAGACATTTTGGAAACTTCCTTGTGGATACCATTTGCTATTTGTCACCAACAGTCCCAGGCCTGTTAGATACTTAGAATTTATTTTCTGAATAAAAAAATCTTAAAGAAAATTAGGAAATCTTTTGGAGGGGTTGATGTACAAATTGAGAATAAATGGAGACATTTTAAGGCAAAATTGCACCAAGAAATGTTTTATCATATTGGTGTCAAAGTACATTTATTTGCAGTGCTGACATAGGCAGAAATGTGGACACAAAGCTGCCACCCACACAAAATAAAATTTGAAACATTTTGCATTATAAGCTGATTATTGACCTTGGATCATTTTCACATTCTTATAATTTACATGCATGTACGGTAAAGTTTTCATGTTTGAACAATGCAATATCATGTACAATTATATATTTGTATAATTATATTGTACAAGTGTGATAGATATGCATACTGTGAGAATGTAATTTTATATTGTAACAACGTAAAATTAAATGAAAAGAACGTGAAAACATTATTAGAACAATAAAGTTATTAACAATATCATGTTTTCGCTCTGTTTTATTTAGCATGGGTGGCAAACCTACCTATCAAACAGATTTATTTTTGTTTGTATAGTTTGTCTCCACTATATCTGTAGGATAAATACTGTAGTACATATAATAGCTAAAAACAATAATTGTTCTTTTTGTATGAAAATTTGAAAATAGTGACGGTCAAACGTTCTTTAGGTGTGAAGTAGCACTATCAAACACCAAAAAACATTTTTGTTTGTTTTTTTCAACAAAACTCAAAAATCTTTGGAACATTTTTAATCTCGTTCTTTTTTATTTATTTATTTATGTATTTATTATTTTATTTATTTATTTGTGTATATATATATATATATATATATATATATATATATATATATATATATATATATATATATATATATATTTTTTTTTTTTTTTTTTGCAGCTCCAGAGATTCATTTAAATGGAACTTGACCCTTTTTGGGTTTTTTTTTTTTTTACTTTTTTTCAGGGGCGTGTCCAGGGAGTGGCCTGGGGTAGCACATGCCACCCTTAGAATCTGATTGGCCACCCCAGATGCCACCCCACTAAGTTCCAGTTTAAATTGACTTGACATTGTCGACAAAAGGCTTGGGTTGTAAACTCCAAAACAGTGCGTGGGTGCATGCACCGTTCACATTGTTTTCTAGCCCAGGCATGTAGTATTAATATTATTTAATATTTTTTCATATTCAAATACATAGTATTTAGAGTCCCACTCAACTCCAGTTGGTGGCAGTAATGAACAAGAAGTGACTTGCTAACCACCACAAAACTAGAAGATGAAGAGGGGAAAAAATGGTGATTGTGCAATGTGAAAGTCAAAAATTCACTAGAAAGTAAATAAATAAATAAACGATTTGTGTAAATAAATAAATAAGCATAACCATTGGTGCCACCCATGAATAAACAAGTGCCTCACATGGGCCACCCCATTTTAAAAGTCTTGGACACGGCTCTGCCTTTTTTGTCCTTCAGAGGTCATTTTGTTTAATGTATGATTCCTGTCTTCATTGGAATTTCTTTCCCAGGCAAAATTATGTGAATTTAAGCAAGACATGCATTCTAGTTAAGCATCCTAGCCAAATGCTGTAGGTTCCCTGCCGTTTTGGCATATGGACCTGTTAGGTTCCGAAACGCCCTGACATTTACTGATTTTTAATATAACATACAGGGTTCTGCAGCGTTCTGGCTGTAGACTGAACCGCAGGCAGCTCTAATCTGAGCTGGATGCTGCTGGTTTTGAGGCCAGCGGAGGTTCGAGAGAAGAGGGATTCTGCTGCCAGCTGTCTCTCAAATCTCCCAAAGGAGACCAGATTACATAAAAAGCCTTAATCCGGGCTTAAGACCCAAGCCAGAGGTGCAGGTCCGCTTGAGGGGCAAGGGAGGTGGGAGGGACTAATATTTGATCTTTGACTCTGTGTTTTTCTTTTTTTACAAACTTCAAATAACGAGCACCTTTATTGGGCTATTATTGTAGTTATTTCTGACATGTTTTACTACATTTGTCTTAAAATAGTGTTGAACACAAACATTTAAAATGAAATCTAAAATACACTGTTTTAAATCTAAATGTTGAAATCTCATCACTGCTATGACCACCTGCATTTTCCCTTTTTTTCAGCATTTTGTTTGTTTGGTGGCACACATGTCTCTCTGGCACTAAACTTTCATGATCGACATATTGAATTCAACAATATTGAATATTTTAATGCAGCCTTATATTTCTAGACTTGATTCCAAACATTTAACTGTAACTTTAAATATTTAAAACAAATTCTAGAAATTAAGATGAAACTTTAAATAATCACAAATGATTCACAATAGTTAAAGAGCAAGTCACCCCCTACCAGAGTATTACTCCACTCCCACTTCCTGTTTCAAAAATGCAACAAATGCTGTTGCCTAGCAGACCCAGAGGTGGCGGCGCTAACAAATACACACACACAGGCTCACAACGACATTGTGACATCATATGGTACCAGCTAACGTTCTAGTGTACCTCTTTGCCAATAGCAATGGCAGATTTAAATTCAAATGCAGTGCAGAGTTTTTACCTGACAACGGCACAACACTGACAGTTTTAGGCAGGAAATTAAAATTTTAACTAA